TTTAATATGTGGCACCAGAAGCAAAAACCGCCCTGGTAAATAAGAAAGTTTCGGAGTACAAGAAGTAAGAGAAAGTAAGATATATTTTTTCCTTTTGTTACTTAAATCAGAACGTATATTTCGACGGCCGATTTAGGCAAAGATAATCAAAAATATATCTCGAATAATATCATCCGTGCAACATTCTTGTTCTATAAAATTGTACAGTACCGAAATAGAAATAAAAATGAGTAACGCAGTCAGTAACAATAAATAAACTTTAATATAAAGTTTATGAATACAATGATTAAGAAGGATATAAATCGTGTTATCGCCACTATCCGCATAAGCTTCTGCTTATCGAACATTAAACAGTGTTTTGTAACATAAACACAGCGGGCTACAAAAGTGTACAGACAAAATATGCACGTCGTTCCGCCGTCGACGGTTATGATAATTGCATTATATCTTGTTGGGAATCGCGCGTCTTTTTGTGCAAATATGTATGTAAAATAGAACAACATTTATTTTTCACTAAGCCATTGTAAAACACTGATGACGAGACTATTGCGCGCCTGGACAGTCGTATGACGTCATAAAAATAATGCAATAAATACACGATTGGAAAACTTATCGTTCAACAGTAGTTATAGACTAAAAAGGATATTCGAAGTAGTTATCGACCAAAAAATGGAAGGAGTCAAAGTCATTGCATTATAGAAATGCAAAGCTTCACAATAGAAAATGTTGGTAACAAATTTATATGTTGGTAAATTTTTGATGATTTCATTGTGTGACAAAGAACATTGTGTGTAATAGTGTCATATGTTATACAAAAATCGATTATTGTATTTATGTTTTATATAAACTTAAACCGGCTGAACGGATTCAAATGAAATTTGGAGATAATGTAAAAATTAGCCCAATAGGGTGATTTTTTTGTGTACTTTGATTGGAAGCAAGGGCGGGTCGCTAGTGATACGTAAAATATTCCATTACTTTTGTCTTTGCATCGATTAATGAAGTTAAAAAAAAATTCAAGTCTTCTATAAATAAAGCGTTGTACTAGGGTTGAGGTGGTCAGCTCATAAAGTACCATTGTTAACGCTTGAGGGGGCTAAAGCACCGTTCACGTGCACGCACCACTTGCGACCGCCCCCTGTGCCCATCTCACCCGACTATAAATAAACGCGGCGACGGCGTACTGGCAAATTTACATGGACAATGCATATCATATATGAATTTTAATTTTTTACAGAACCCGCTGAAAATTTTCCATAAATAAAAGAAATACATCAGTGTTATTTTGAGCGAGATGTATACACATTAAATGATGCAGGAATGAATAAAAAAATTCTTTTCAAGTATGACACTGTATAAATAACAGCTTATTGAAGCAACTACAAACAATAATTGTAAATATTCAATTTACTCTTAACAAATTGAGAATAATTTTATTTCAAAAACTAAGGTTTTTGTTGCAATAATAGAAAATAAAAATATTCAGTAGTTAAATAACACATGTTTATCAATTGCAACGCTTTGTCATGTATCATATTTAAATGATATGTTGATTATTTAACATGACATGCAACTATCCCTCACATCCACTTTTCAATTTGTTATTAAGATGACTATTTGTACAATTTGTATCTCGGGATAATGTAAGCTATTCATTGCAGTATCTAGTATTCATTCAGTACTTTTAGTCTTTTCCATAAAAACATTTTTTTACCTTTTCATAATATTAAATTTCTTGAAAATTAAATATTTTAAAAATCAATGAAGAATACATTGATTTTATGATGCTTTAAAACAATATTTTTGAAGATTATATTGTATTAAATTATGGATACAAACTAGAACTTGCATTTTACTTATAGTCTAAAAAGAGAAAGAATTTACTAAATTTGTTTAATTTACTATATTTGACATACATCCATGGAGTAAATAAGTTAAGAAAAACAAAGAAAAAGTTAAAACATAATTTTAGCTTGGCATAATTTAGATAACTCATGCTGTCATAATGGAAATAGTTTTTTTTTTAGATGTGTAAAATAAATAAAAGCGCCAGGCTTTATATACTATGTCCTACCAGGATTCCACTTAGGGACTGCTTGAGCATATTAACAACTGAATGCAAGTGAAGAAGTAAAAGTTGGTGATAACTAAAGTGCATATTTCTATCTTTATACTTATTCTTATCATTACATAGTATAAAACAAAGTTGTCCCGTTGTCTGTATGTCCCTATGTATGCTTAGATCATTTAAAATACGGAATGGATCTTAATGCGTTTTTTTTACTTGATAGTGATTCAAGACGAAGGTTTATATGTATGATACATTAAACCCTTGTGGAGACGGGGGGGGGTCGCTAGTAATTAATAAAAATTTTAAATTTTATATCCTGCCATAAAGTAAATTCTGCTTATTTTTACAACTTGCTATATTTTTTAAATGCAAAAGCTAAATATTTAATTTTATGTATGAGTATTAAGGTACATTATACAAAAACATATTATATTAATTATTTGTTAATAATATGTTTAAAAAGCTGAAATAATTATGTTCAGATATAGAATTAGCAATTTAATATATGAAAACTTTTCAAGCTTTCAGAGCAGTCTAATCAACAAGATCTTAGAAAGTCAATGGGCTATCTGCATTGACAAACAAAATTACAATAAAAAATGTGATTTACTTGAGGCTTTTAAATCGGGCATTCATTTATTTCATTTACTATGTATATTTTTAAATTGGTTATTATTAAAATGGCACAATTGTGTGGTTTTTGTAGACTACAATTTGTCAACTAACTGTTCATCACAATGAACTCAGTTTTGTCAACTACAGTTTACCCCCAGTAATCCGGACCATGTCTAAGCCGTCACACAGACATTATTTTGCCAAATCTTCACGAATGTAAGTAATGATGAGCATTAGCATTAATGATGTTAATTTTATAATAAAATGTAAAAACTCTATTTTGTTGTTTAATTTACTAAATTTATCATACATACATATGGAGTACATACATATGCATATATACTATGGAATATGACCTGTAGGATAGATGGTACTTTTTTCAAAAAAAATAACCAGACTATTGGGGGGCCTTAGGTAGTACTCTATAATCCGACAAATTCGATAGTTCGGCAATGCCTTCCAGATTTCCAGAGGTAGTGCACCTATGTATGTAATATGTACTTACATAGTATGTTATGTATGTATGTGTGTGTAATATATACTTTGTCATAAAATTATGTTAAAATTCTCAGTTTAAAAAAAATTCAGGTATTAATTTCCATTACCACAGTTTGATTTTCGAGCTAACAAAAAACTTTTTTCTCTATCGAAAAAAAAATTACTAATGAAATAATCAACACGCAGAATTATCTGCTCACTCACAGTTTTCGAGATAAAAATTATTTAAAATTTGTTATTTTCACTACGAAAGTCTGCCATTTTACTAAGTGGACTTCAAAAACTCAATATACAGTACTGCCAATATGATAAATATAGGTAGCGAGTAGACGTCATACTCGTATCGATTGTAAAATCGATTTTTTTGTAAGAAAAATTATGAGTCACAGATCCGACACAGCGCACCCTGACTCCATGTGGTCTTGTGGTCCCTACCCCTAGAGTGAACATAAAAAGGCGGAGCCAGAACCTCCAGTGTTCTGGCGAAGCACGTGGAAGAGTCAAATTTAATAATGAAATTATAATTATTAATTCATAATAAAATTTGACTCTTCCACGGCCAGAAATATGATTTTTTTTTACATTAAACAAAAAATTAAAATTTATGAAAGGTGAATATTTCGTATGTAAAAAGAAAAATCTTCGTAATTTTAATAAAAAATTAAAGAAAAAATCGCTATTAATCTTAATTAGATAAGGCTTCTTGATATATAAAAATATGCAATTACGAAAAAAACCTTTCAATTTGTGTTAAATAGACTTGAAATTAATTTATACTACTTACTGACTAAAAAGATTTTATAAAATTTGTAATCGAGTTCCGAAATCGATATTAGCATATTGGCTGTATTGATATTTGAGTACCTAATCATATATTAAATTAAAAAAGATAAGTAATTTAATATTTGTATTTGTAATGGTGGATAATATGTGCGCGTCTACTAGCACTAGTGAATTATGTACGTATTGTAATTTATATTTTATTTCTTTTTATAAAATTTTATTAGAATCTCGTTCAGTACTTTTCAATTTTTTTGTGTCGTTGTGGTGTCTTGTAAAAAGTTTTGTTTGTTTAAAGTGTGGACAAGACGTATTTTTGATTTAATATGAAAGTTTTTAAATGTTACAATGTAATAATTAAACCAAAGACGAAGAAGCGTCAGTGTTTTTTATTAATGAGACATTACCATTTGGAAAAGTGTGCGACTTCAAATATGTATGTATTTTTAACAAAAAACTTTTAGTAGCTTTATATCTAACATGTTGTCAATAACAAAATGGAGGACTTTCTTAGTGAAAATAACGAGTTATAAATATTTTTTTTCTCGACAACTATGTGCAGCCAGATAATTCTACTTGTTGTTTATTTTATAATTGATTATTCTTTATTGAATAAAATTTTTTTGCACCTGGTAAATCAAACTGTGGTAATGGAAAATTTTACCAAAATTCAGGTTAGGCCTAAAAAATTAAAAGCTAAAGCAGAGGTTTTCCACTAAATAACTTTCTTATATTGAAATAAGTACATATTATGTGTGCTACAAAGTAAAACTCATGAACATTACATTCTCATGAAAATGGCCAATTAATAGAGTAATAGTAATTTGTTAACTTTTGTATCATCATTAGTAGTTCAGTGTTAATTCAACTTTAATGGTTTCTTCATATCAAAATGATATTATTGTTGTTTACAAATTATTTAGTACTCGTGAATAGTGCCGAAATACGTAGTAATGCAAAAATATTTAAGAAGTCTGCTCTGTATGGTTTAATTCAAAAAGAGTTATTGGAAAGAAGTAAACATTGTAAAACTTACCATTTGGCCCATATTTGTCTTGGTTTCTTTTGACTTGATCTGGAGTAAGGCCTTTATCTGGGTCTGTGCCAAAGTATCCTAATACTTCATCCACGGATTTCGTGTGAGCGTCCTCCATGGTGGAATTTCTACGTTGCCGTCAGTTCTAAAAAGCAAAAGAAAATTTAGGTTAGAAATGACAAGTCATCATTATTGACTTGAAGGCTTTATAGGTTATGTTGGCGTTTTTTACGGCGTAGTAATTTTTTTGCACGGGAACAATGGTCATAACATATTATTTATATCCACATTAATTTATTTAACCTCTTTCAAGTTTTATCTCTCTTCCAATTAGAATTTTATAATTTTATATTATTTTTAACATAAAGTAGACCTATATGACACAATTTACGCAATGGTTCAGACGAGATTTGAAATTAGGACAGGAACCCAGTCCCAGGGAAGGATAACGAGCGATTTCCTTTATGCACAATAAGCACTAAGCACCGTTTGACTTAAACCATTGCACACTCACCAATTTTTCTAATTCATGAGAAGATGATGACTTCTCTACTATTTCATTTAAATCGATAAGTCTCAACCTAATTTAATACAATAAAGATGATTTTGTACTAAGTTAATACTTTTTCTCGTAAATATCATAAACTACGCGAACACGTATCTAATCCAGCCGTCATTTTTTCCAAGACTGACGTTGAAAAAAAATCGCTGACTGTAGCGCCACCTATTACAAGGGCCATTAACAAGTTAAATCAAGCTAAAATCTTTTATGTATCGTAACTTATATACCGAAGAAAATAAATTAAATTTCTACTGCATAATTCCTAAAATATAACTTGATAATAATTTACAAAGGTGCATTTATTGAAGCAGGTCAAATATTATTTATGATCTAGAATAAATGTGGAGCATTTCTATAGGTTGAATTTGTATCACGTGATGTAATGCTATTTTAGTGCCCCAGGCGCCTAGAAAGTGCGGTATTTTTAAAATTTAGAAACGGCTACATAATTTTCTTCCCGTTATGTAACACTGTACCACTATTAAAGATAATCACTATATTTTTAAGACCGTATTCAACACTGTATTTCACTCCGAATATTAGTTCACTCACGGTAAGATTGTTTTATGGATTTTAAATAAGGGACTTACTGAATACTTTTTTCAACAGCTGCGGGAAGGAAAGAAGAAATAAGAGTGACGCGGGAGATGTTTTCCCGCCGCGCCCCGAGTAGTGACTCCCGGGCAAAGAGCGACGATTTTAGAGCGGCGCGGGCGCGGCGGAGGGACATCGACGGAGATTTCTTTAATTATTTTGGCAACGGCACTCGATGGCATAGCCGAGTCGCTTTCCAGGGTTGCATGTCGCACAGCCGCCATCGTCCGCCATCCTATGATGATCTTTTTATAGCGGGTGCTGCCCGGGTAGAGCTCGCTGAGCTATACAAACGCACGCTATTTGTTTATATGATTTAAAATGATTCCTTATTAAATTACATTAAGTAAGGAAAAGTCTTTGTGGAATTTATGACCGTTAATCATTGTAAATTATAATATACTCGAATGTTTGGAAATATTTGCTACCTAATTATTATAACGAGAGAAATTTTAATTGTGTTGAAAAATAGAAAGTCAAAAATAACAAAGCTAAGTAATATTTTGATATAAACCTCGTTGTACTGTAATAAAATTATCCTTATTATTCAGATCGTTTAGCTCTGTATTCATTTCGAAAACCACAATAGTACAGATATCTTTTTTACATAAGGTTATCATCTCTAGGTATATTTGGAGCGCAGCTGACGGTTCGACATTGGAGCTCTGTGCTGGCAAAGTTGACTGCCTTGTGACACTGATCTATGTGACTGAATATTTTTGTGTCGCTTGTTAAATACTACACACATTTTACAACAAAAAATGTATAAATTTTATATGTTTGGTGTCGTTAAAAATACTGATAACGAGATATCATCGATTCGCTTGACTGTTACATTAGGGAAAGGGAAAACTTTTATAATTATGTACCAATTTCCCATCTAGACTATTTGTCACTTTAATGACGCATTGATAGTAGAAATACAGAATTATCGAAATAATTGTTATGTATAATTTTTCATTCTACAAGTCTTATTCACAAGCTGATGTCGTGAATCCGATTTTCCTGTTCTTGGCCGATGTTATCGTTCAACATTATATCGTTATAAATCAACAACCGGAGCGATATACAAACGATTAAAATTAATTACTCGATTTTTTTAACACATTACATTATTATTACTTAACTAAATATCTTGGGCAAGTATCTCATACTGAGAGACAGTACTGGATCGCAAAGAACGATCATTAGACATTTTATACCAGGCTGTGATTCACAGCGAAAACGAAAAAAGATGTTTATGAAAAAGAGAATGTACATATTTTTGGAGGACAAAAGAATGACGAAAAATGTGGGTCTGCGTGGTTTCCAAGTACAAGGCGAGAGCTTTGAGTGTGTATTTATAAAATAGATTAAAAATTAGATACATTGTTATCTGTTCTTTCTTAACATGAAAAAGTGAAATGAAACCTAGATGTATCTTATATTCGTTTATCTTATCATGACAAGCCACAGAAAATCTGCAGCAAATCTTAATCAGCCTTAAATTTTAACACTGATTGTTATAGAGTAAATTTTCTATAGATTAAAAAATAATCAAGTCGGGTAACAATTTTACTTTTTCATGTATTGTGTGTTGATAATTTTAACAAGTATTATCTACAGTTTGGTATAATACACATTAATTTATTTTAAAACTGCTATAATTGGCACAATCATGCAATCCGCTACGCTTTCCACATTTCGAAAAACATTAAGACTGTGTTTTATGACAAACTGGAAAGTATATTTGCGCTGGCGATTACCCGGCGGCAACCGAAAAATGTCAGCCTCATGTTTCGTTTGCTACAACGAATATATTTAGAGAGTGAAAATAGAAAATCACAGGGAAACAGCTGAATGCCAATGTTAACAGCTATTTCGGTGGCCGAAATAAAAACGTGGCCCCGGAATCAAATGCTTTCCTACATGTGACTATCAAAGCAGCGTATTGTAATGTAATAATTTTCTGTCATTTTACATAATTTTCTCTTATCTAGGCGGAACCAAAATATTTTTTCATCGTTCATTATTCTTTCACTTTTCATATACTTGAAAGAGAAGTATTAAAGATAATTTTTTAATCATTCAGTCAGTCCACAGTTATCTTTTGTAATCCCCGGAGATTTAATTTGATTTAAAGTTCTGATTGGACCGATTTTAAATTGATTAGATTGATTAAAAGAAATAAAATTGTTATTTCAGATTTTAATTAAATAGAATATATTCAGATCCGTAAATAGTTTTTTTCTATTCTAGGCGTACTTTGTGTCACTGATTTTCCTAGTGTGGAAATCGTTACAATAAATAAAGAATATTAAAAATTAGTTTCTCAGGCTACAAAGTTTAAATGTAAATGTGTTTTCCACATGCTTATAGGCATAACTAGCGTGAAGTGGAAGTATTCGTCTGGTCAATGAGGTAGCCGGGATTCGCTGTTTGAAAAGTTGTCACTGCATCTTAAAGCTTTCAGATTTTTTAGATGTTCATGATGGTAAGTGAATAATGCCGAGATTTACCTAACATCAGATAAACTGCCTGCACGCTTAACAACGTTTCACAAAAATAATGTATTTTTTGTCTTATTTTTTCTATCTGTTGTATTGTTTGTAAATGTTGTTTATGTGTATGTGTGAAACGTTGTCAAGGATTTTTGCTAATATAGAAAGATATGCACGTAATGAAAATATTCTAAGATTAAAGAAAATGAGCTAATTGGTAAGTCAGAATCGAGTTAGCAACTATCATTTATTTAATACAGACATTTGAAGTAAAAGAGTAGGTTTAATGACATTAACGATCGATTAAAAAATACATTAGCCAGACTGCGTTCGAATTTGCGTTAGCGTGCTCATAATTTTTTACATTAGCTCGTTTTATATCTTCCATATTTATGTATAACAATTGTTTATTTTCCATTCTCCGACATCTGTGAATGCATAAATTTAATTACAGTACAATTATTCTAAACTTTTCGTGGAGCAGTTTATTAGGAGCAAATGAAAAATATTCACAGCTCTTTTTATTCTAGTCGTTAGCCGAGATCAGTGCCGATCTATAACAAGGAAGAAATACGAAGTATATCTACGTATATATGTGCTTTGGAGAATAAAACATGCTTTTAAAATTCCTCGATAATGTAACGAGCCAATGTGCGCCAGTGCGTACGCACGATGTAACCGCTATCAGAAACTATATTCGTGAGGCGATTCGTCATCTAGAAATAAACAGGCGAAGGTAATAATCGAAATAGAATTATAGTGCTTGAGTGTGTCGTAACTATCTGGCAGGTTCAAAGTTGGCTGTCTGCGCTAGGGATTTAGGTGTTACTCTCAGACCCGGTATTAAAGGCTGACTGAAGTTTTTGGATACGAAAATTCGGGTATTTTAATTATTTTGCAGTTTTCTTTTAGTAGGTCTGCTAAGATATTATGATTAAAGTTTTGATGTTTGTAATGTCGACATCTATAAAATGATCAATATGATATTTATAAAATATATAGATATACTTTTTTTTTTAAAGTAAATGTTCAATATTACGGTGGTAGAGCCACGTAGCAGCCTCGGCTGTTGCATGAGTGGGCAGGCTCGTCCAGGTAAGTATCACGACATCACAGAAGTGAACACATTAAGTGGAAGTATAATACTTTCGCGTTTCGTCTGGTGAGTGAGGTAGCCGGAGCCCAATTTTCAAAAGGTTGTCAACGCATCTGCAACTCTCGGGTGTAGCAGATGTCCATGGGTGGCGGTATTGACTTAACATCAGGTGAACCGCCTGCTCGCTTGGCAACTTTTCTCATTAAAAAAAAAAGGTTTTGTTTCGTATTGGTAAAAGTACGAATGGATATATTATGTTTGACTTAGAAATTTTATATATGAAAAATTAGCACGCGAGCTGGCTATCACCTGATGATTACCATCGCCTATGGACACCTAAAAACCTGAGAGGTGGCAGATATGTCGTCAATATTAAAAAAAATTGGCCTCGGTTATATTATTTACCAGGTGAAATGCAAAAGTGGTCTTCTGAGAAACCGTGGTACTTCCCTGGACGAGTCTGCTTATTCTCTTAGGACAGCGGAAGCTGTTGCTGTGAACCGCCAAATGAAACGCAGAAGTATGACAATTCCACTTCATGCCGGTCTTCTGTGTGGTGGAGGTACTTACCAAATTCCGACCGGACCGACCTTCTAAAAACAGGCGAAGCGTGGTTATATAATTATGTTAGGTTCAGATTTTTGAAATCAATGTATTAAGATAAGAAATCTTCATCAGAAACGAACAAATTTCCGTCCAAAACATTGCTGATCGCCATTTGAATATGTTAAGGTTTAACTTTAGGAAAGAAATCTTAGAAATGCTTTAAAAAATGAAAAATTGTTTGTTTTACGTATGTACCTATTTTATTGCATTTGTTTGCTATTAAATCCGTAAGACAGCTCAATGTGATGGTATTCATGTAAAGACAAGAATTTATTACGATCAAAGTTTATCAAGGCAATTTATAAGGGGAAGATATTGCATAGGCAGAGTTGATCCATGTTTACGAGGTTGCTGGATTTTTTAAGTATAAAAACATTTATAAAAATAAATTTAAAACGACTACGTTCTCTATCTATTTCTAGTAACAAACCCTGCGTGCACACGTATTTAAGACAAAAATAAGAATATATAATGTATTCAAATCGAATATTATGTTCCATTGTATAATAGAACTAATTTATGTATTTTTTGCGTTTAATAATGTTTTTCATTCCCAACGCGAGATAATGATGAGGACTACCGTCAGCCTTTTTTATGTGTTGACTATTTTAGCTTTACATTTATATTGATTCGGTTGTCCGGTCAACGCAGTAGGTGCTTACAGTATCCAGGGCCAGCTTTAGAGGTCTGGAGGCCTCGGGGCAACAAAGGAGTGGAGGCCCCTTGCCCCCAAATTATTTTCTATTGATTTCTGTATTCAATTTAATCATGTTTGTACAAAGTATTGTAGGTAAATATATGAAAAAAAATGAAATATAAATAGTCTGAATTTGATTGTTTTTTCCGAAGTCTCTATCTATTGTTGGGGCCCCTCGTTTGTGGAGACCCTGGAGCTATTGCCCCAGTTACCCTCACCTAAATCCGGCCCGGATAGTATCTTTCAGCCTTACACTATTGTTTTTGTCGATGTCTTGGATCCAATCAACTTATCTATTGAAGACATGCTAATAGTCTTTAATTTAAGTATCGCCGTGACAGGAGCCACCGACTCCGTCGACTTTAGTGAATGAAAAATATGAAAAGAACAAGTAAGAGTAATCAAGCCGTTCAGGCTGCAAAGGGTGCCAAACAATTATACATACATACATACTCTCGAAAAATATAACCCTCCTTCTGCCGCAATGGGGTAAAAAACACGTAAAATAATTTAATTTACAATGTATTCGCGTAGAGAAGAAATAGTTATTTGTCCCTTCAAATATTTGGATTTCGACTTTGGAAATATGAACCTTTTTAATCTGTATGAGATTTCGATGTTATACGATCTAGCTAAGAAATTACTTAGCTTTCTTACACGTCAAAGCTTGGACTAAGGATTTCTAGGCAAACCCGTAGAACGATCTCTTAAATAACAGTACAATACTGGCAAAATTAACTTGTGTTTTAAATTTACACTACGGTCCTTGTAACTTGAGTATACAAGAAAACTTTATAAAAAATGCAATATAAGTTCGGTAATAAGCGAGTTATCATTAACTTTTAAAATTGTTTCATGTTTCATCACATTAACTTGCACAGTTTTTAAATATAGCAACACTGACGTGTATTTCTCGTATTAAATTTGTAAAATCTTTTTCACGTGAATATTTTCAAATAATAAACCGTATGTCAGCCGTAGTATTAGCACTAGAACATCCATTTATTGCTCAAATCCGTGGCCGCTTTTCCTTTGGGACGGGCAACACTGAACCATCACAATATCCACAAATCACAGTCCTTTCCGGTTTCACCATCACAAACTCAAAACGTGGAGGCAGACTTACCGTATCACTTATCACTTGGTCCCAATCACTGGTTTAGATACATTAAATTATTAGTATTTTATTTGTTAATTATACTATCGGGAGAGGTTAGTGTTTGCCATGAGTACAGCGTCGGAATTGCTGCGCGCCGGGCGTGGGAGCAGAGCGGCGCTCTCTTTTATAAGCTTCGTGGCGGGCAACGGGCCCGCTGCCAGCGGCGACGTCGCAACCAACATACACGCATACTATTGCACACAACAATGGCAGTCAATCACTTAATACCGTCCCACAAGGTCCAGAATCGCACGGAACGGTCACTGGCAAACGCAAATACGCACGCGAATGTCATTCCCGCTGACAACTCTTGACGTTACCTTTAATTTACAAATTATTACAACAAAATACATCTTATTAAACATTTCGTACATGCATACGTACGTTTGCTATTTGAAGTATACTAGCTTATAAATGTCTTTCAATATCGACTGGTCGATTTCCAGGGCTGACGTTATTATTGCGTCCTATTTTGGCAACGCAAATATAGAAAGTAGTTTATAATTCATCGTAAACCAGACGAAGGTAAATGGAAGAAATTTATTAAATAATTTAAAATAAAAAATGCTTTCATATGTCATTTGTCCTAGTGAGCTACAAAGAGCTACGCCGTAGCAGTACCCAATGATTTACGAAATTTCTCACACGCGGTGGACAAAATAAGCTAGAGTTGTAAAAATTTCATCGAAGTAGGCATGAATTATTTTTAGTAAATATAGACATTTTATTATTTTAGGTATAGATGTATTTTCATAATTCTACCATCAAAAAAATTGCACTTTTTTGACTTAAAAAAAAGTTTTTTTATTTTGTTAGGTACCTCAGAAATTATTTATGAATCGATTCAGTTTTAATTTTATTAGCATTGTACTTTGCAGTTTGAAGATGCACCAGGGAACTCCTCAAAATCTAATAGGAAATGTAATGGATTGTGCTTCCTGACATTCTTTGGGGGGAAGCTTATGTTCATCTCTGGACTCAAACAGGCTGATATGATGATGATGATGATGCAATATCTGAATTGATTCCAAGTACGTATATTTTGTTTAATTTGAGATAATATACATTAGATTCTGTATTCAAGAGAAAACTATCTACATTTTTAATTATGATATGACTTTTTACGTACGTTTTTAGAGCCCGACTACTTTGAAAAAGGATTCCTTATTCATCGATGAATCAGTCTTGTCCTGTATATGGCTGTCGGGATTTCTTACAATAGGTAAGTTTCTTAATTAAATTTATAATATGCAGTGTCTGTACAATGTTCGGAACATTGAAAACGCGTCATGCTCTAACATTCTATGGAAAAGAATTTTTAATCGCAAAAGCGATTGGAACCTTCATAGCAATTCACAACATTGCGTCAATATGTGAGCATCTGACTGAAAAGGCTTTATTTGTAAAATTGAATCAGTGCTTGAATATAGTTAAATTGCATTCCAGTTTAATATCACTTTGCTTACGTTCTAGCAATATTAGCTGTTTACAGTCTTTAAAAAATTATTTACACTTGTTGTAAAAAAAAATCATATAAAAAAAGCAATAACGTACAAAGGCGGACTTAGCACCATTAGGTGTTCTCTACCAGTCAACCGACAAATAAGTAGAGAAAATAAGGAGGTGCAAAAGTGCCAAATGCGAAGTAGTAATTATGATATCTGTTTCAGAGATTCAAGTGCTTACATTTATTATTGCCGCATTTTTTTAAAACGATATACGTATTGTTATTTTTCATACCATATATAAAAACACATCTTCAGTTTAAAACATCTTGATCTATTCCCAGCAGAAAATATTAAATATACACATTAGTCGATGATACTAAAATTATTTTGCATAAAATTGTTATTTTAAAGAATAGCATAATAGGTTAAAAAAATGCGGAATGGTATTCGTAAACAAGTCACTCAGTGTGATAAAAAATAACTCTAAAATAAAATAAGCAAAAAAATGTTATGACTGGAAAACTATTTTTGCTCATTTTACATTACATTCAAACCGTAACAAGATTTAATAACAATTTCATATTAGAATGATATTTTTCATTCCCTGAAAACAGGAATTATTCGCCCCCGAATCTACGCACATTCTAAATTCGCATGAAAAACGCAGAAAAAAAAAATATATATATATATATATATATATATATATATATATATATATATATACAAGAATTGTCATTCTTTGTCATATTGATAGAAAAGAACATTTGGCATTGTTTTTCTTTTGTTTTTCTATCACAAAGTATATCAGTAAAGTTAACTTATCTGAAATAAGAAATCGTATTGTGTGATAATGAGGACAATGAATTTCAGGTTGTATACACAATAATTTTACTTAGACTTATAATTATTACAAATTAACAAAAATTTCATCCACACCACCTCGATGTCCAGCGTTCCACAAAAGCGCGATTTTCAAGCAATTTTTTTGACTCGTACAACCACTCTGTGGAACCAGCTGCCGCGATCGGCCTTTCCGAACAGTCACGACCTGGGAACCTTCAAGAAGAGAGCATACTCTTTCTTAAAAGGCCGGCAACGCATTTGTAAGCCCTCGGGTGTAGCAGGTGACCCTCCTGCTCGTTTGCCCCTTTGCATCATTAAAAAAAAACTCATTAAAACAAATTAGGTAGTAGACGTAATAAGAATATATAATGGTCGGCGCCCTTATTTAATTGCGAGCTTTGCCAAATTGCTATTTTTTTCACTATCACGGAAATATTAGCTCTCTACTTTGAGAGCAATAATAAAACTGACGACGATTGAAACGTCAGCTTAGTAATAACCAAAAGAATAGAATAAAATTATTGATTCGGTGTAACGTCAATGGATCGTGCATCGTGTATCGTGCAATCAAGAACACTAATTAAATTTGATTGGTTTACGTAGATAATACCGACTATTTTCGCTACTAACGACGTAGCTTGGCATTACTTTTAAGAGCATGACGTAGACAAAGTGCAACGACTCTTTCGGCCTTGGTTTACGCGAATAGCTACGCCATGGGACTTACGTCATCCGTGAATATCTATATATTAATTAGACTTGTCAATTTAGATTTTTTTATCAATGTCATACTCGAAAGTTTCCTTTTATGTCTAGCACGTCTGGACTATTAATGACGTAATATTCTTCTGCAAAGGAAACTTTGATTGTATGTTAATCGGATTATTCCAAACGAAATACAGAAGCTTCATTACCCTTCACTTTTATGTGCTATGTAAGTAAGTTTAAATTGGGGAAGAAAGGTTCTCGAATGGCAGCCTCGTACTGGCCATCGCAGTGTTCGACGACTCCCCACTGGATGGAGTGACGAACTATGCAAGTGTGCGGGGAGGCGATGGATGCAGGTGGCTCCGGATCGTGCTTCGTGGCAGTCTGTGGTGGATACCTATGTTCAACAGTAAATGTTCATAAAAAAGGTATACCTATTTATAATGTTGGATAGTTTAAATTTTATCTCTCTATATATATATCCCAATACATATCCCAATAAATAAACAAGATAAAATTTGATTTAACTATCATAATGGTGAAGGAAAATAATCCGATTCAATTGTCACTACTATGGGAATAAGACTTGAAGCCTACGAATTATTAGTATGCATCGTAGAAAGGCTTTGAGTTAAGTCTCAGAATAGTTGGAAGCCCAGTTATCTCTACTTAGTATTCATCACAATTCATAAACAAGCCTTAAGACTATTTATTTGAAGGATTTTTCCTTCATAAGGATAGGCCAACATTGAGTCTGTGGTATTTCTGGCCAAGTGGCCAAACCATGCAACTTTCTTTGCTACTTTAACAAAGGAGAAATTGTCTTTATCTATTGGGCCTGTAGCAAATTGCCACATTATAACGGCCCTTAACGATAACTTACTTATTCTTAGGACTTAACCGTTCGACCTCAAATTGCCTAGAGTAGTCATCTGTAACAAGTCTCTGTATCTCTAACAAGTCTATGAGTATTACCCAAAAAAGTCGTGGTGAATCGCATTATACAGTGATGGAAAGTTTTTTTCATCTGGTGGGCGAACTGAACAGGAAACACTAATAATAACGAAGGAAAAGTCAATCTTAGTCAAAGACGCCAACACTTATCTATCCTGCCTTTCATTGAAGATAGATTGAGATGTCTGCCAGCGTCATTAAACATTATCGATTAGGCCATTTCGTGCTTTTCACGTTGATAGTGTGTTTGTTCTACTTCAAAGATTTTTTTGAGGGATAATAAAAAGGAAAATTATCATGGAAAATAAAAAACAGGGAAAAAGTTCTTTATCTTTTCACGCACGTCAAAAGGATTTTCAAAAGATACATAAGATGATAAAGATAGGTAGTAAACATTTTGGTTATTATAGATTAAATAAAAAAATTGTTTATGATATTTTGTGAAATTGTCTGTCGATAATAACGGTATTTTCTTTTAATGTAAAAATCGTAGGAATTATAAAAGCTTACGTTCAAGCACATGTTTTTTTGTAAAAACGATTCTTTTTGTCATTTTTTTCTTTTTAACCTGTTCCTTGGATTTAAAAAAGTGCGTCCCGGCTACCTCACCCACCACACGACTTTGGCCTTCTGTGAGGTCGTGGTACTTCTCCAGACGAGCCTGCCCTTTCATGAAACAGAAAAAAATGCTGAGGTTGAGAGACCCTACCGCAGTCAGTCCTTTTCTTTGATAGAATTTGCTACGGCCCCCGCGCTTGTTTAATCTACGGGATAGCCGGGATCATAATTTTAAAGTACCATCAGTAAGCCCTCAGGTCCATGGGCGGTGGCAAACTTTTTATCAGTTAAGCCTCCTGCCCGTTGTCCACTTTTTACATATAAAAATCACAGCTACACGACGACGATGACGAAACTTTATAGGTGACGTTACGTTATATAAAATGTATTCGCGAGCCATATGTATGCCGGACGTGTCTGCCAATTTGATATAGAGCTACGTACTATGCGCGCAACCCGGAAAAATGAAATATTTTTCTTTTTGCGAAATGTTTGTACGCGATTGCCTGAGATATTTTCAACGCAAATATAGCCGGTCGATGAGGTGCGCCTCGTTATAAACTCGCGGTTTTGTAACAGGAATTTTCTGTGCATAATATACGAGAACGTTTCGGCCATTTAAATCACGTTTTCATTAACATTTTACGTAAGTAAAGAGATGATGCATCATC